ATTAATAGCTGTCATTAACCGATAACGACAAAAAGATTTTCTTAATATTAAGTAACTGCAAATGTTCTGTTTTAATATTTCATTACCCTTTACTCACTTTCATTTTGATTCTTGAGCGACCAATTTCGATTCAAGTAGACCACATTTATTGAATCGGCGACAATCTCACGTGCCATGGCAAATAAAAATAGCAACAAAACGGCGGCTGCATGCATTGTAAATGGAATGTCATAAATTTTCTTCTTGATACAGGAGTTATTTTTTAATCTCAACATTTTAAGAATGTTTGCCTTTTTTCTTCTTCTTCTTTGCTTTCTGAGGGTAGGCGCATGCAGCGAACCTTAACCTTTCCAAATATTATGCGAACACACTCACTCACAATTTATTTTATAATTTCAGTTGACAAACATACAGAACACACAACCACAACAAAAAATAAAAATTATCGTAATTACTTTTGTTTGGCGGTTTTTAGTATTTTTTTTCGCTTTTTGCCTAATGGACGTATTTATAATTGTTATTATTTATTTCATATCATAATTTTATAATTTTTTCGTTTCGTTGATAATTTTTGTTGTTGTTAGAAAATAATTATTTTGCAGAGAACCACTACCGAAAAAAGTAGCACCAAACATCTGTTATGCTTCAAAAACTTCCATACTTCCGAACACAAACGGCCGATCGGTAAAATTACTATCAGAAAGCGTGGACGCGTGTTCTTTCCGATCGCTTATAACGCGACCACAAACAAATGACGACTGTTTGCTTTGCGATTTTTCAATTCGGTTTCAATTGAAATAAAGAGCGTCGAGTATTATTTGCCGCTAGGCGTTCATTCATGCATTTCTTTTTCTTTGCATGCACAACGTTGTTGATAACGTCGTAGTCATACAATTTGGAAAAAAATACGTTCTTTTTCCAGTATAAGAGAAATGCGCCAATGAAATTAATTGAGAATTAGAGTAGGGAGAGTTTTTGACTATTTGTAGATCATTGCCGGTATAAGTGTGGTTAATGGGGCGATTTTTGGGGATATTAAAAAATAAGTAAACAAAAAGCGAGACATATTTTTAATGTAGCTAGGAGTAGCCATAAGGCTCAGGGTATATTAATGGAAATTAGAAATTGGTTTCAAGTTGTTTAGGACCGATAGCAAATCGTACAGATATTTTAATACAACTTAAACAGACTAATTTTAATCAGCCTAGGATTTTGATGTAGCAATATTGGCGCATAGACTATAAAATATTGAGACTCACATATATTGCACGTCTGTTCCTATTTTGCGACTTCATAATATCTAATCTAACGATGTTCCGTATTCAAAAGTGAATCACTAACAGAAGCATATAAAAAGCTGCAACAGCTCAATGCAAATACTGTTGTTACTTTTCCAGTCATTGAACTTCAAATGATCCACTTGTTGTACTTAGCTAACAATGAACTTTTAGAGTGAGTGTTATACATACTAAATAAATGCCGTGTATTAGGGTGGATGGATGTTATTATACATTTTCATGGAAATCTTTATTTATTTATCTTTAGGATTGTGAGAATATGAATAGAATCACTTTCTGAGTTGATATATGCATGTCCGTACAGCGTACTGAACTAGGTCTATATTGATGTATACGATGTTTTGTGGATATAGCTGTCATATATATTTTAGATATAGCTGCCATATATATTTCTTCCGATATTATCTAAATGGTGCACCAAACTCCCAAGGTTTGTACGATTGAGACAAAAATTTGCACAGCGTACTGAATTAAGTCCAGTTTAACGTCCTTGGAGTTTCTTGAAATCGGTTCAGATTTAGATAACTCCCATATATAGTTTCTTCTGAATTTTGGGTAAATGGTGCACAAAACTCCCAATATTTGTCCGATTTATATTTCCGATGTACAGAGTTAGGCACAGATAGGCGTAGCGAAGTTTTATTTAAATCCGATCATATTTATGATTTATGTAAATGGTGCAAAGAAAAGCCTACGATTTACACGAAATTTGGCAGAGGTGAGTTTAGAGTGAAATGCATTAAGGTTGCAAAAATCGATTTGGATTTAGATATATCTCCCATATATATTAGGTTGGAGAAAAAGAAATCCACGATTTTTATATGAACTATAGGACATTATTTATTAATTTCGGAACGTCCAATTGGGGCCAAATATCCATTTCATAATGCCTCCATCATAGAAGTCATGCTCTCTATTTGCAAAAAACTCTAGTAGACTTTCCCAATACTCCATAGATACAAATTTTTTATCATTAAAGAAATTTTGCAATGCAAGAAAAATATGATAATCGGTTGGTGCCAATTCCGGACTGTATGGCGGATGCATTAAAACTTCACAAGGAAGTTTCTGGCGAGTCACTGTAGATATGTGTTGCCTAGCGTTGTCCAAGACACCTCTCCTGTTGCCCAATTCTGGTCGTTTCTGGCCAATTGTAAATAGTTTAAAACAGTTTAATGGCCGATTTTTAGTTCCTGGGCAATGTTACGACTGCATGTCAACATGTCGATTTTTCAGACCCAAAAAATGAACTCCTTTAGCTGAAATAGATCCTCAAAAATACTCATTAAAAATCAATGGCTGCAGCTGAAATAGTCCTTAAATATATATAAAACCTGTGAGCGGAGCAGTATAGTCGGAAGGGGCCGAACATATTATACCCTACACAACTACCACGGGACGCTAACTCTGCGGATGTTTATTCCTAGGCAATATTTCGTGATATTTACACCCTCTTGCTCGATTAGAGGTCAATAGCAACTCTTCCTTACACTGACATATTTTCCGAATATTACTAATATTCAGTACACCCCTTCTAATTAGGTATTTCTCCAAATTCCCTTCACCGTGGGTTGTGTTGTGATGTTTGTCTTATTACTATGGCCTATAGATCGACTCGAAAAAAACATAAAAAAGTTTTCGGTCCACTTCATGATCTTTACAGAGCTGTCCTGTCCCTGATCATAACTAGAACATCATGAAACATTTCAGAGCAATCAGCGCTATATTTCCGCCCTCTAGTGTGGTAATGCGTTACTAACTAATTTATGAATACACAAGTACCTGTAAATATTCACAGGCAACTTCTCGGATCTATGTCCTTCACGAGTAACTATATACGCCGGAGAATACAAATTTTGTTATTTTTCACACAAAAGTCAGGGTCCATTTGACCCTCTAAATATTGACCACTCTTTACGCATGCTTATTCTTTGGCCCGATCCCCTTCTCCATGCAAAAATTCGCGATGTTTGGGCCCTAATTGCGACCTCTAGAGCCACCAGAAAACCCGACAAAAATTAAATATTTGGTCCATTTCATTCCTTAAATATTAGCCGATATTTTCCAAAAACAATAGGGGTCTTCACTGGCCAGAACCCATCCTACATGCAAAATTTCGTGAAGATTGGTCCATAACTGTGGCTTGTATCGTGTTTACAAATTATAATGGACAGACGGACGGACGGACGGACGGACACACATTTCTATATCGACTCAGCTAGTCGAAATATGACAATCGGTATACTTAAAGGTGGGTCTTGGACCAATATTTAGCGGCGTTACAAACTCTTGGGGCTGCACAAAGCTATATTACCCTGACAACATAGTTGTGTAGGTTATAAATACTAGCATATGCCCGCTTCGTTATACAGAAAATTTTATATGTCAGAAGAGCTAACTAACCTACACACCAATATTGACCATAATTAAAATTGTATTATCATTTAATTTCTTTATTTTCTTATAGTACGCAATGCTAATTCCAAATTTCTCTATAGTTTTACCCAAATCTTAATTTTATGAAATTTACTGTCATTTAGTACAAATGCTATGGAAATCAAGTTTCAGATATAATTGTACCAAATTTAGTACCATGAAAAACATCCTGCAAGTTCCTATGAATTTTGGAAATCTTAATTTCAGGATTCCAGCTCCATCTGTGTCTCCAAATTCAAATTGTATCGAATTTAGTAGTACTTTTCGTATACATGAGTAAATGCTTTCAACAGAAACTCCTTATATCCATCCTACATTGCATTCTAGATTTCAAGTTTTTAGCTCTATACATTCACATGCTACAAAATTGTACCAAATTTAGTACATTTTAGAACTTTTTGGACACTTACAGTTCGAATTTCCAAAAAGGAACCCTCTCCCACATATATTCTACACTCTATCAGTGACCCTCATTTTAAATATTAGAGTTCTAGCTCAACCGGTTCGCAAAATACAAAAATATAATACTTTTTAGTATTAAACGGGCCGTTTTAGTACGACTTTTCAAAAATCCAGCCCTTTTAAAAAATCTTTGAAAAATAATCCTTTGAAAATATTATTTATAAAATCGACACTTATAGCTGCGATAGTCCTTTAAAAATATTCTTTAAAAAATCCACGCTTATGACTATGATAGTTCTTTGAAGAATATTCTATAAAAATCCACGTTTATGGCTGAGATAGTCCTTTAAAATCATTCTTAAGAAAATCTACACTTATGCCTGTGATAGTCAATATCAATTATTCTTTGCGCCATGATAGTCCTTTAAATATAGTCTTTAAAAAATCTGCGCTTTTGGCTGTAATAGTCCTATAAAATTTGGGCTTATTACTGTGGTAGTCCTTAAAAATTATCCTTTAAAAAATCGACCTCCAGATGTGATAATCATAAAAAAAATATTCTTCAATATTTCCAAATTTGTGGAGTTAAAGGCCCCTTAAAAATATCCTTAAAAAAATTCAAGCTTATGAAATTAGTATTCCTTAATATAATATAATGATATAAAGTCCCAAATGGTGATTTCATTTGCTTTTAATTACATTTATTTGACAAGAGATGATACAATAGAAAATATACATATGTAATAAATAATTATTTGTATGTTGTTTTCAATATTTGTTTATAAAGAATAAATAAAAATTCTGTTCTGTCCCAGTAAATAATACTCCCCAAATATATTTCTATATTTTGTTTTTTGCTCTCAATCATTCTGCCATCGTTACTTCAGATTCCATTTGTGTTGTTCGAGAAGTCGTTACGTTCACATCATCATCACCTTTTGCAGTTGTCATATTTTCCGTCGTCGAAGAAAAAGGACTTGGCGAAGATGAATATACAACTTCTGGGTTCGATGAGGAACTTGCATACATTTGATTTAAATGGAACACTTTGACATGTTCCTCTTTCAACGTTATACAATATTCATTTTTCAATTCAATTTCGGCGTGAACAATTTTTATTGGTTCGGTTAGAACAAAACCATTATCCGATAATTTATATTTATCAATATCGGGATGATAGAGTTCCAAATAGACAAAAACGGCTGGCTTCTTTACCGATATTATAAAACTATAATAGATGGTGCGAATTTTATTATTTTTATCCTGGCAATTGTCGGAGACGAATTGGATCTGTAAATGAGGGAGGAATTAATTATAATAAATACAGATTATATATTTTATTAATAAAACCTACATCCATTTGTGGATCAGTCATTCCCACCACCCGATGGAATTTCGTTGGGAACACATAAGTACTGGCCAGAGTTTTATGATATTTGGTCAGTTTAAATCTCAAAAAACTGTTGCTGATGGTAAAGATTTGATTGAAAACTTGTGATAGCTCCAAGTAGAGCTTATACATGCCATTGGTTGTCTAAAATATTAATAAGAAGTAATTACATGCTTGATTTGTGTGTGACATAATTTATACTTACCACAGATATTTCAATAGTATTGGATCGCCTGAAATATAATTCAGACCACAAATATGTTTGTATGGTAATATTGTACAGCTCTGGCTTTTCTATATCATCCACATATTCATCTTTGGTAACAGTGACATTGATTCGATCATTATTACTATCGATTAGAGCAGTAATCGAAATAGGAGCCATGAAATCTCTGGACCAATACCAAAGTAACTGAAATACGAAGAGTTAAATGAGTCTTGTTAGTCCTTTGAAAATTAATGATTAAAAAATCCACGCCTCAGATAGTCCTTTGAAAATGAATATTTAAAAAATCGACGTTTCAGATAGTCCTTTGAAAATGAATATTTAAAAAATCCACACCTCCGATAATCCTTTGAAAATTAATATTTAAAAAAGCCACGCCTCAGATAGTCCTTTGAAAATGAATATTTAAAAAATCCACGCCTCCGATAATCCTTTGAAAATTAAAACTCACGATCGGATATCGAAAACCAGTACCACTTTGGGTATATTCTACATATGTATCCTAACAGACGTCGCGTGTTTGTTAAATATCTATATCTGAACTGATTTCGGGGAAACTTGCAGAGACTAATTTATATCACTTCAGTACGTAGTGTCAATCGGCCTAGCTATGGATCTTTTCACGAAGCTTAGCAACATCATTCTAGACTTAATTCAGTACCCTATACCAAAATTCGTGCAAATCGAAAGATATATAGAGACTTTGGTGCACCATTTACCTAAAATCGGTCGAAAATATATATGGGAGCTATATCTAAATCTAAACCGATTTTCAAGAAATTTTACACACATCGTTCTAGACTTGATTCAGTACGCTATGCCAAATTTCATGCAAATCGAAACGTATATATAGGTACTTTGGTGCACCATTTACTTTAAATCGGACGAAAATATATATGGGAGCTATATCTAAATCTCTACCGATTTTCAGGAAACTTAACACACATCATTCGAGACCTAGTTAATTACGCTGTGCCAAATTTCGTGCAAAACGAAAGATATTTAGGGACTTTTCCGCCATTTACTTTAAATCGGACGAAAATATATATGGGAGCTATATCTAAATCTGGACCGATTTCCAGAAAACTTAACACACATCATTCTAGACATAATTAATTACGTTGTGCCAAATTTCGTGCAGATCGAAAGATATTTAGGGACTTTGGCGCACCATTTACCTTAAATCGGACGAAAATATATATAGGAGCTATATCTAAATCTGGATTTCCAGGAAACTTAGCACACGTCATTCTAGTATTAATTCAGTACGCTATGCCAAATTTCGTGTAAATCGAACGATATATAGGGACATTGGTACACCATTTACATTAAATCGGATGAATATAGTGACCTATGCCAAATTTCATCCAATTCGGATCATAAATGCGACCTGTACTTTGTTTACAATTTAACATGGACGGACAGACGGACGGACATATAATCGACTTAAAAAGTGATTCTAATATTTAAAAAATGTGTCTATCTCGTTTCCTTTTGCCTGTTACAAACATATGCACAAAAACGTAATACCCTGTACCACAGTGTGGTGAAGGGTATACAAAAACCCATTACCTTATAATTCCCAAAATAATCAATACTCGACCAGGTGGGCGCCACCCAAACATCATTCAGCTGCCAATACATAGCACCCATTGTCCTTTTGTGTGTACGTTCCGAACGAAACAAATCCGTTGCAGTTTTTACCGCCATTGCTTGGGTAATTTGACTTAGATATATGAATTTATCGATATTTTCTTCCCAATCCATTATTGGTAAACGGAAATGACGAGATATCATTTTAATTATGGGTCCAAATTCTTTTGGATCATGTTGCCGATGTGTAATAATATCAGCTAAATTATCCTCTTCTGATATGGTGCGATTCCATGATGCCATAATTGGTAGACTTTGAAAGCCGTATTCTGTTATGAAGCGGGCACGTGGATATATGTCCGGATCCCAGACATCCTTCTCATCATCCCAGAAATGAACTGCAGAAAAAATAAATTTGTTAGAAATTACACTATCTAATATTCGAATATGTTTCCCTCACCATCTCCATAATTTGGATTTTGTGGTTCTATGGACAAATCTTTTTTACTCTCCTCCACCCCCATAGAGGGCGTGGAAATCATTGGTCCTGCTCGTGGATTAAAATCATTGCGTGATATAACATTTAGCTCATGGCGTATTGTGCCCATAAACAATTGACGATATTCATCCTCCAAGCGCTCGGAGTCATCTCTCAGTTCGGTTTTATTTTTTGTCAAATACAATTCAATTTCATCGTTGGTCACAATCATGGCAAAGCTGGGATGGAATGCCAAACGTTTGGCATTTTGATACACCTCCAAGCGAACAGATCTGAAATATGATTTTTAATCAATTAATGCTTCTAATATTACAAAAAAAATCTCCGAAATTGAACGTACTCCACAAAATCTTTATTGGTCATGGGGTATGTGGCTCCCGAAAAGGCCATCTCTTGCCACACCAAAAGTCCATAATAATCAGTTAAATTATAGAAGGTGTCTGATTCATACAGACCACCACCCCAGACTCGAATCATATTCAAATGTGTTTCCTTGGCCGATTTTATAATATGTTCCATACTTGATTCCTTGGAGGAGTGCTCTGGTAGGATGTGAGAGGGCACATAGCTCGCGCCCTTAACAAAAATGGGTTGGTCATTGACTTTGAAATAGAAATTTCGGCCATAATCTGCAACAAAGGAAAGAAAATTATAATAGTAACCAGTAAGGAAAGTAGTAAAGACGGACGGGGCCGACTATATGATACCCTTCACCACTATGGGTATATTAAACAGGACTATTAACATGAAATTGGATGAAATAAAATACGTGATATTTATCTAAATGTGAATCTACCTAGATCTATCCATAAAGTATGTAAATCGACTTCAAACAAATATAAATAGGTCATCCGTTGGGCTATGTCTGTACATCTAGAAAACGCAACTACGTAATTCTATGCTCAATTTTGTAAGTTGTGCAAAATTTGATGTCAATCGTGCAAATCGAAAGATATATAGGGACTTTGGGGCACCATTTACATGAAATCGGACGAAACTATATATGGGAGCTATATCTAAATCAGGACCGATTTTCTGGAAACTTGGCAGACATCACTCTAGGCTTAATTCAGTACGTTATGCCAAATTTCGTGCAAATCGAAAGATATATAGGGACTTTGGTGCACCATTTACATGAAATCGGACGAAACTACATATGGGAGCTATATCTTAATCTGGACCGATTTTCGCGAAACTTAACACACACCATTCTAGACTCAATTCAGTACGTCATGCCAAATTTCGTGCAAATCGAAAGATATATAGCGACTTTGGTGCACCATTTACATGAAATCGAACGAATCTGTATATGGGAGCTATATCTAACTCTGGGCCGATTTACCCGAAACTTGGCAGACATCACTCTAGGCTAAATTCAGTACGTTATGCCAAATTTCGTGCACATCAAAAGATATATAGGGACTTTGGGGCATCATTTACATGAAATCGGACGAAACTATATATGGGAGGTATATCTAAATCTGAACCGATTTTCTCAAAACTTGGCAGACATCGTTCTAGGCTTAATTCAGTACGTTATGTCAAATTTCGTGCAAATCGAAGGATATATAGGGATTTTGGTGCACCATTTACATGAAATCGGACGAAACTATATATGGGAGCTATATCTTAATCTGAACCGATTTTCACGAAACTTGGCAGAAATAATTCTAGGCCCAAGCCAGTACGTTATGCCAAATTTGGTGCAAATCGAAAGATATATATGGATTTTGGTGCACCATTTACATGAAATCGGACGAAACTATATATGGGAGCTATATCTAAATCTGGACCGATTTTCACGAAACTTGGCAGACATTATTCTAGACCTAAATGAGCAGGCTGTACCAAATTTCGTGCAAATCGAAAAATATATAGGGACCGTTCACATGAAATCGGTTAAATATATATATGGGAGCTATATCTAAATCTGAACCGATTTTTCCCAATTTCAATAGGGTTCGTCCTTGGGCCGAATAAGTGACCTATGCCAAATTTCATCTAATTCGGATCATAAATACGACCTGTACTTTGTTTACAATTTAACATGGACAGACGGGCGGACGGACAGACGGACATGCATAAATCGACTCAGAAAGTGATTCTATGCATATTCTCAAAAGGAACCATGGGTCTAACTCGATTATTTTTGCCTGTTACAAACATATGCACAAAGACATAATACCCTGTACCACAGTGTGGTGAAGGGTATAAAAAGCGACGGTTCTTCAAAAATAATATATAAAAAAATCCAGTCCTTAAAACCCCACGTCTTGTTGGTCCTTGAAAATATAACATTAAAAAAAATGCAGTCATTAAAACCCCACGTTGGTCCTTGAAAATATAATATTTAAAAAAAATCCAGTCCTTAAAACCCCACGTCTTGTTGGTCCTTGAAAAATTATATTTAAAAAATTAATATTTAAAAAAATCCTCGCCTATAGCCTTTTGGTCCTTAAAAAATAATATTTAAAAAATCCTCGCCTATAGCCTTTTGGTCATTGAAAAAATAATATTTAAAAAATCCACGGCTATAGCCTTCTGGGCCTTTAAAAAAATAGTACTTAAAAATCCAAGCCTATAGCGTTGTTAGTCCTTGAAAAATAATAGTTATAGCCTTGTTGGTCCTTGAAAAGTAATATTTAAAATCCCACGGTATACTCACCATCTAAATCTTCCTCAAGTTCAATGGTACGAAATCCAATGTTAATAGTTTTTTGAGATTTTGTCTTGGATCGGAGGGTTGGTCCATTGATTTCCGTATAACATTTGGCCACAAGGTAAAGGGGGTATAATTTTTGTTCACCATAGCCATTGGGCCACCATAGATTTACTCTATCCTACATGAAATTAAAAAAAATAATAATACAATTAAATAAATATTTTCAATAACTCAAGTGCCTTACCTTGGGAATATGGACTTGGAATTCTATTTTGGGATTATTATAGAAAATCATGCGGCGGTCCAATGTCAATGGTTCATCCAGAAGTTCACTAGAAAAAATTAAAATTTATACAATATTTATTCTGCAGATTTCGGAATTATTTTAACCTACGCCGCTATAAATTTCAATTCGGCATAGAAATTCTGCCTAACACCGGTTGTCAAAAATACCCGAACATCCAGTGTCCAATGGGTGTCATTGCGACGTATAGCCACATCAACATCACGCATTATGGCCACTTCATAATATTCTAATTCCACTGGTTTCCATAGGCCCATAGATGGTGCTGCCAAATTCCATTCGCCACCAAAACTCATTTGCATTTTACGCACCATATTACGATGACATTCACCATTCTCCCGATTAGGGGGGCAATTTGGTGGCGCATTAATACCCTTAGACATTAGGTCATCGGCACGTTCCTTGGCCGCAACTATGGGCGATTTTATTTCAACTTCTAAAACATTTTCTGGTTGCAACAATGTCGTGATTTCATAGGAATAACGAACAAACATATTATCCGTTTTCCCGAGGATTTTATTATTCAAACGTATCGTGGAAACTGTATCAATCCCGTGGAAGGTGAGATTAAGTTTGGTATGAGCGTCAACATTCGCTGAAGGAGAGGAGGTTGGAAATTATGTATACTTGAAATTTAGTGAAATTTAGTGGAATTAAATTTGTTGACTTACCACTAAATGTTGTTGAAAACGTCCACGAGTCTTTGGCAATCCAACGGAGATCATCATCGTTTTTGGAATTCAATAGGTCACCATAGAGATCCTTCAGGGCAGTATATACTCCAATGGGCGCCTTTAGCCCAGTTAATGAGATAGCTAAGGAAATAGAAAATTTTTTTTTTTTTTTAAATCCACGCTTATAGCTGTGATAGTCCTTAAAAATATTCTTTAAAAAATCCACGCTTATAGCTGTGATAGTCCTTAAAAATATTCTTTAAAAAATCCACGCTTATAGCTGTGATAGTCCTTAAAAATATTCTTTAAAAAATCCACGCTTATAGCTGTGATAGTCCTTAAAAATATTCTTTAAAAAATCCACGCTTATAGCTGTGATAGTCCTTAAAAATATTCTTTAAAAAATCCACGCTTATAGCTGTGATAGTCCTTAAAAATATTCTTTAAAAAATCCACGCTTATAGCTGTGATAGTCCTTAAAAATATTCTTTAAAAAATCCACGCTTATAGCTGTGATAGTCCTTAAAAATATTCTTTAAAAAATCCACGCTTATAGCTGTGATAGTCCTTAAAAATATTCTTTAAAAAATCCACGCTTATAGCTGTGATAGTCCTTAAAAATATTCTTTAAAAAATCCACGCTTATAGCTGTGATAGTCCTTAAAAAATATTCTTTAAAAATCCAGGCTTATAGCTGTGATAGTCCTTAAAAAATATTCTTTAAAAAATCCACGCTTATAGCTGTGATAGTGCTTAAAAAATATTCTTTAAAAAATCCACGCTTATAGCTGTGATAGTCCTTAAAAAATATACATTTTTTAAAAATCCACGCTAATAGCTGTGATAGTCCTTAAAAAATATATATTTTTTAAAATCCACGTTAATAGCTGTGATAGTTCTTAAAATATATTTTTTTAAAAAATCCACGCTTATAGCTTTGATAGTCCTTAAAAAATCCACGCTTATATCTGTGATAGTCCGTAAAAAATAATATTTAAAAAATCCACGAGTATAGCTGTGATAGTCCCTAAAAGATATTCTTTAAAAATCCACGCTTATACCTGTGATAACCCTTAAAAATAATATGTGAAAAATGCACGCTTATAACTGCGATAGTCCTTAAAACATAATATTTAAAATATCCACGCATATAGCTGTGATAGTCCTTAGAACATAATATTTAAGAATCCACGCCTATAGCTGTGATAGTCATAAAAAAATAGTATTTAGAAATCCACAGTTCCTAAAAAAATAACATTTAAAAATATTCGGAAAAAATAATATTTCGTACTTAGGATCTATCCACATTTGTCCTACATTTTGCTTATCCCCTTTAAAATACCTTTATTTCTCAGACAGCCTCAACGTAATTTTTCTTGAGAACTCAATACTATTTGTGTAAATTAAATAAACAAATCACAATCAACAATTTATACGATATAAACAAAATACTGATAAACAATCGTACATTTTGCCAAAAGCAAAAAAATACGGAATGCTCTCAATTGTTATCGAAATATCTAATCATATTTTCTGTTTTTGTAGAAGAACGGTAGGCAAAATTGACGGCTGGGTTATCTTATCAGGACGTAGAACCACAACAGTTGTTATTAAACATTTTCAATTGTTCAATTGATTAGATAGACGACTACGGTTTTATTTTGGCTGGTGTCTGTATGTCATTGCAAATCAAAGAAGAATAGGAGCATTGCCTTGCAGGGAATGAGTGATTGATGTGGAATTTCACACAAAGTGTATAGAAAGTTTGGAACACATATTTTGATTTTAAAAATTACATTTAATATTTAGGAAACAAAGTTTTTATATAACAAGCATTCTCCTCCATAATTTGTATCAATGATTTTTAAAAGGCGCAATAAAACTATATAGTACTCCTTATATTATCTGGTTTGCTTTAAGCATATATTCAAATAAAGTATAATTTTCTCATATTTTTACAATTTCAGAATCCAAGGATTAAAATCATTAGTCAAAGCGGCACGACCCGAAACTGAACGTATGTTTTCGTAAGTGATCGATCATACATCATTGATACCACAAACAAAGTTCAAGGTAAGTCATTTTTCAAGAATGAAAAAAAGAAAACCGATATGATACCCTTCACCACTGTGGGTACATACAAGATATGCTCATATGTATAATATCCTGTAGATAGAACAGACATAGCACCTTTGGAGGACCATTGAAATTGAATTAGACGAAATTAAATTTAGACATTTGAGCTAAATGAAAACCACACATACCATTCATAAATCTATGAAAAATTACATGTCAATCGGACAGACTTGGGTTCTTTAGAGTACCATATGTATGGGAGCTTTATGTAAATCTGGACGTGTTTGAGCTACAGAGGTTTCCACCATGCTGCAGCACAGTGGGCTGTCCAGAATTTATCTCGATGGGAGAAACGAAAATACAGAGTGGTTATATCCAAATCTCAATATATTTACCAAATCAAATACACGTTATTCTAAGTTGAATTTGGTATGCTGTGCCGCAATTCTTCCCAATCCACTGTGGGCCAGAGATCCCCAGAGATAGAGGACGCTTCTGCAAGAAAAAATTAAAACCGAAACTACGGTCAATTCTTTTAAAAGTTGAATTAATCAAAATATTGTTGATCACTTTTCGCAAATCTATGGTCACACCGCGAAATCAGATTTTGAAAAAACATTAAAAATTAATCCTAAATGGCGGATCAATCTTAAGAATAGGGCTTAAAAATATGGCTCACCCTAATTAAATTTAAAATATTGGCAATTTAGTTGAAAAAAGTGATAAAAAACGGGGGATCCGTTTATATGTGGCCTACCCCGACGCTTAAGCTAATACTGATCTTTTTTTGTACGAATATTTCTCACCTACAGAGAATTTAAAATACTAAGTTACAGGCATATTAGTTAAAAACGCACAAAAAAATCCCCAAAAAAATGTTGAGGGGGTATGGTTAACCTTATCTGGCGGCTACCCCAAACAGTGTACCAACATTGATAATTTTTAGTAATACCAAATTACAGCCAATTTGATTGAATGTGAGACTAAAATCTTTCAATTTCAATGCCTCTTAAGTTTATGAGTGGTCGCAAAATTCTAGACTGGTGTTATAACCATTAAAATATCCTCTGGCAATGCTTGGTACTAGGGTTTGGAACGTTTTGGAAAAAATCATATTTATGAGTTTAAAAAAAAAAAAAATTATGATAATCTTCTAAATTTTGACTTTGACCTCATGTCATTGGTTAACCGCGACCCACAATGATGAAAAATTTTGCTGGTGGAAAGCTCAAAGTCACCAGATTTGAACACTTTTTCCTCTCTGCCTGATATAGACTTTGTGCCAAAAAATTGGATTCCTGGCCCATAGTTCGTACTCCAATTATCACTAGATGCGATTTTTTATTCTCGCAATATCTTACAAAAATGTTGCTAATGTTAGATGGTTTCCTCAAAGATGCGAAATCGATATTTTTTAACGTTTTAATGATCTATTCTGAATTTTACCCTAAAACCAAATATGTATTTCAATAAATTCAGTACACATTCTTTATTATGTAGAAACAAATTATTCAAAAAAATTAATTATTAAATTAAAATTAATTTGAAAGTTATTTTTTTCCATATTGATGTTCATGCTCAAAACAGTACGAAAGCGATGTCGTTTTTATAGCGATGTCTGGTTGTCAGTCATTTTTGCTAATGATCTCTCTCTATCTATCTTTTTACCACGACATTTCACATTTAATTTCACTCTTCGTCTGTGTTTTGTTTTGGTATCGTCCTCCGCCTCTCCTCCTACTTGGAGTTTGTTGTTTTTGCAACCATTTATTTGACTATTATTTCTGTTGCTAACAACTGCCAACTTTCCACACACTCTATTATGACAAGTTTTGAATTACGTTGTTTCTTTATTTCAATCATTTTTACCGACTTCTGAAATTGTGTTACAAATTTCGCATATGAATTTTTCAAATTATTTCGATATAATTAATAATTTCAATGCTCTGTTGTAGGGATTTAATTTGTCAATTGTTCAAAGAACAAACATTTTAAAAGTGGAAAACTCGTCAGTATAGAGAATCGTGAAGATTTCAGAACTTGATTCTTACTGGTTCATTTGTTTTATTCTTTATAAAAAATTAAGTTTCCATTTCTCCCAATGTGTTCACAATAATGAAGTTCTTGTTTGTTGATAAACAGTTCCATAGATAACTGTTGTTGTGTTTAATTGATAAGTGTGTGTATAGAGCATTACGCAGATATCTATTAATAACTCAATTTAATGTTTATAATTTTCTATAATTATATATATCACAGCACTTTTATACGTTCACGATTCCACCTGGTTTCAAAACCGACATATGTTTATCTTAATTAATTTTAATAAATTATTTTCATAAATAATTTATTACAAATATATTTCAATATTTAATTTTCCAATAAGAATTATTAATTCAATCTTATTAGAAATCGAAATTTATTGTTTATATTTTTTATTTCAATATCACCGAAATTTTTTTTTCTTGTATTATTCATTATTTTCTTTCAAAAAACAACTGGTGAAACTTTTTAGTTTTCTTTTTAACGGAAGTTTTAACTTAACAATTAAAATAAATTTTCCTCTTTAATTGACACTCTAAAAACCGATTTTATTGACATATGGTGCAGGTGTACGGTATCACATGACAGTTGCTGCCGAGTATTGTATTCTCTTCGCACATTGTTGACAATAATAATATATGATTTAATACCACCAGACAAATTTCCAATAATATTGGACACTTTAAAATAATTTATAAAACATTTATAAATTAGTATTAATTTATTTTATAGCAAAGGGGGTTTGACTTTCTACGGAAATATATATAGCCCACTGTCAACTGCAACTCACTTTTATTTTCATTAATCAAATTCCAATTGGTCAAACTGACCGTTTTCACTTTATCACATTTCACACGGGAATTTGAGAATATAACCAATAACAGCAACAACACGGCGTATGATTCACGATATTTCGGCATTATTATACTTATTTGATTGTTTTCTTAAATTTTTATTCAAATTTTCATTTTTGCAACTTATCTAATTTGATTCTACAAAACAAAGCTGTCAGACGGATTGGATTTTTTCCATCGATTGCTTATCTCTATTTTTAGGGTAGAATTTCTTTTTTGATTCAAGCACGTGCGATTTCGGGTACCGTTCGTTTACAGAGTTCGAGGAAAACTGTTCTCCGCTTTTTGTTTCGTTGAAGTTCTTTTCTCTGCAGAAGTTGTCTAAAATTTATTGATTATAACTTGTTTTATATTGACATATCGCTCATGAAGAGCTGATAATGACGAATTTATCAGCAGTCTTCAATCAGTTCCAATTTTTGTGTTATGTCGTAGCAATCGATTAGTGGTTATTATTGTTGTGAGTTATATTTTTGTTTTTGAAGGGGGTGAAATAAAATGCAATTATTGGCATGATATTAAGAGAACGGAGATACGAGAATATGGGTTATCTAGGAAAATTTTTGGGGACTAGCAATTTCTGCATAAAGTATTTTATTCGTTAGAGCAATGAAAAAAATCTGAAACATGTCGAAAATACGCGGTATTTTTGTATTGGAGCCTACTTCAAAACAGGGTGTTATATAGAACTTTTCTGCAAGAACCTGGAGTGCCAAACTTGTGCCACTTAGGTGGGAAAGGGCTTAAAAGTGCGGCCAAGGGCTTAAAAGTGCCGAATTTAAAGCGGGACCTTTAATAGGGAGCTTTGTCAAAACATGGACCTATATTGATCATTTTCTACAAAGATATATGCCAACCTAAAAAAAACCGAGATTACAAATTACAGCATTCGGTCGGAAAATGTGATACCGTTCTAAAGGAAAACGTGAACCGATATAAACCATACCAAATATCATAGGAGAGAAAATAGTGTTTGCAAAATTTCAAAACTCTATTTACATATTGAAATCTTACTCCAAATTTTAGAATTCTAACTCTATCGGTTCATCCAATATTCAAATTGTACCAAATTTAATAAGCATGTAAAAATAATCTTACTTCAAAATTGCAGGATTTAAGCTCTATTGGTTCACCTAAATCTAAATTGTATCAAATTTAAAAATTTTAGTACACATTTACAAAACTACCTACATATCCCGATCCTTCACCCCAACAGGAACCCTAACTCCAAATGTCAGGATTCAAAATGTTGGTGTCCCAGCTCTATCAGTTCACCTAAATCAAAATTGTACCTAATTGAGTACCATTTAGTACATATTAATCGAAATTTCCAAAACGTCCTACATACCCCAATCCTACACCCCAGCTGTGGTCTTAACTCCAAATTTCCGGATCCCAGCTCTATTTGTTTAATTAACATAGATTCCTACACACCTCAATCTACTCTCCAAAAGTAATTAAAGTAATTAAGTGTCCATAAGAACAACTTTCCAAAACTGCATCCATACCCCCAATCCTACACTACAACAATAATCTTATTTCCAAATTTCAGTGTTCCTGCTCTATCGGTTCACCTAAATTCAAATTAGTAGAAATTTCCAAAACTTCCTACATCCCAACAGTGATCCTAACACCAAATTTTAGGACTCCTGCTCTATTGGTTCAACTAAAATTCAAATTGTACTAAATTTTGTACACTTAAGTACGAATTTCCCAAAACACCTCTATTATACAATGCAGTAGTAAAAGTATTTCAAATTTTCAGTTTACCATTTAGTACATTTCGTACTCATAAGTACAAATATCGAAAACTACCAACATATCCCAATCCTACACTCCGATGGTAATATTAAATTCAGGATTCTAGTTCCATCTGTTCCTCCAAGTTCAAATTGTACCAAATTTTAGTAATTTTCGTATAAATGACTACACAGTTCCAAAATTACCACCTCGATCCTACTTCTCAACCTTGATTTGCACACCGAATTTGCAGTAAATTTTAGTAAATTTTCGGATACTTATAGTTCGAATTGCCAATAACACTTTGGTACATCTATAAACTCCCACAATGACCCTCAATGCAAATTTTCAGAGTTCTAGCTCCATCGGTTCGCCAAATACAAATGATGCCATATTCAGTAAGATTTTGTACTTTTCTTTTTTTTTTGTATGCGTTCGAATTTCCAAAAGCCTACTAAGAGTGATAGTGGGCTATATAAATTATATATTATATGTGGATGAAATCGGCTACTCTATTCGCTTCAAATAACATTTACAAATTGTTCAAATATTGACGCATTCTGGAGAAGGGAATGTAATTGGATATTCTTTTTACAAAAATTTGTAATGTTGACCCTTTTTGGGCTCATTTTCAAATTACATGAAATATTATAATGTGCAAATTTTGGATGAAATCGGTTACTTTTCTTTCGAGAGTTATCATGCGCACCAGTCAGTCATCTAGACTGACGGACGAACATTTGTAATTAACATAAATTTTGTATGAAAGAGATTTGGTCCAAATTAACCATAATGCTGAGGTACACTTTGAACTAGATTATTGAGTTTTCTCGTAACGATACTGTTGGAATATATGACCAATGTTTTATACATCGATAGGTACACTTTACTATCAGGTGGTAATATAATGAAATTTAAAATCGGTTGGGATCCTTATTTGGCGGGCTATGTTAAAAATTACATTGTAAATTGTCTGTCGTGAGGTCTCAATATTACATTCGAAGTACCAAATCACATACACTGCGGTTGGACAATTTTATATATTTGCACGAACATTGTACGCTCTGCAGCATGAAATGGACATTCCAAATAACTAAATTTGATCGATTTGGTGCGTTGTGCACTAATTCGTCCTAAGTGGACAAACTTTAGTTACTTGATGAAATTGGATGAAAATATATATGGAAGATATATCTAAACCGTCTTCAATCCAAGCGAACGGGAATAGGCTACTCCATTTGTACCATTTGCATAAAATCGGACAAAAATAAATGACGGAGCTATATTTACATCTGAACAAATTTCAACACAAAAATGTCGTGCAAATAGAACAGGGTTCATGGTGCACCATTTACATAAAATAGGACTAAAGTACAAATGTGAGCTATATTTAAATCTGAAACCCGGACTTCAACCTGCAGTATTTCCAAAGCACTGTGCAAAATTTTGTTTCAATCGGACAAACATTCACAGTATGGTGAAACATTTACGTAAAACAATATATAGGAGCTTTATCTAAATCTGAACCGATTCCAACAAAACTTTGCATACATCAATCCAGACCTAATATAGTACGCTGTGAAAAAGTTTATCTCAATCAGACAAATATTGACAGTATGGTGCACCATTTACATAAAATCGGACGGAACTATATATGGCAGCTATCTCTAAATCTGAACGGATTTCAACAAACAAATCCAAACTGAAACCAATCCAAATGAATGTATGCAATTTGGACCTAATTTAGTACTCTGTGTAAAATTGTTTCTCAATCGGACTAATATTGGCAGTATGGTGCTCCACTTACATAAAATCGAACAAACTATATATGGGAGCTATATCTAAATCTGAATCGATTTTCTCCAATTTCAATAGGCCAAATGAGTAGAAAAATGGACATCGATCTGTAAAGAAGTTGTTTAATTGTCAAGGTCTGGCATTGCTAAAATCTGGTAAATACGGAATGAACTATTAATGGAAATGGTTCGTAAGTGCCCATAGCTAAAAAAATTAATTACAATTTAATATTTTTATATAGAATACTTTGAGGCAAAATAAAATTTCTTTTATCGTTATATTGAACATACAACTCTCCGATTTTATCGAAGTGTAATCATTTTCTTTCAAACTCAGAGAGAAACTCTCCATACGGAAATTTATTGTTTACTTACTTATAACTGATTGTCAGCCTACATTATTGCTCGATGTTCTCACTCCTATCTGATAAATAGATAAAATATTATCTCCTTGCCAACCAGCTGTTATTGCCTATATATTGATAATTGGTAAATAACATAAATACATCGTTAATGCCAATAATTTCATTTAAGGCATTAATAAATAAACTAATTGGGTTATTGATAAATAAGATGGCTCCTACGTCATTAAATATATGTTTATTTAATAAAATATTACTTTTTTTGCAAATCGGAAGAAATATAGGGGCTTAGGCAAATTATATATCTATATCTAAATTTGAACCGATTTCAACAAATCTTTGTGTAATCCTTCAGTACCTAATTCAGTACTCTTTTATAGGGGATTTGTTGCGTGGTTCAATGTCCTTGGAAAACCCAAAATACCAAATTACATAAAATGACCCCGAATAAGGGGTGACCATACTATCTTCAAAACGCGAAATATACCAAGTCATAGACTCAAACTCAAAACGTTCTGCAGCTATATTCCCTATAACTGTTTCAATAGATGGGCAAATTCGTTGAACTTGTTCGCTGGTGAAGATTATAATTATATATTATACTCTTACCACATCACGTTTTAATAATATTTACCATTTACCTTGACTGAAGTGATACGTAACCTATGCAATTAAAGTTCAGGGACCTTCTATTTTTCACAATGTCAACATTCTGATGACACATATCGATTACTATATGTTACTTCATTCATTTAAATAAAACAAAGAAATATATTTTTTTATCAAGATTTATCACGATTTTATAATAATTCTGAAACAAAGAATAAACTATTCAATATAAAAAGTCAATGCATGCACATAGAGAAATTCAGTACGATCTGAAGTTTTCTATGTGATACAATAAAAAAAAGAATCAACATCAAAATGCTCAATAAACCCGTGCTCATCATTTTACTGCTGGCCAGTAGTATAGCCTGCCTTAATGCCGATGAAAATATCAAAGCCGTTGAAAGTGATGAGAAAAATATGACCGAATTACAACAATTAAAAAAGGAACAAAATCAATTGGGTGATACGGAATACACATATAAATGTACAGTGGGCCAGGGGAAAACTTGTGAGTGATTGTAAAAAAAATAAAAATCAAATTTCTTCGCATTAATAAATT